AGCAGGAAATTCAATACGCCTTTGCCTGCGCACTCTGGAGCTGGTGTAACTTTTCCATTAACTTAAACAAATGCTGCTGTATTTTTAGACCATGTAATTACCCTACATCAGCAGGCTGGCCCTTGTGAAAGTACACTGGAGAAAGATTCGAGCCCTATGTTTCTCTGCTTATAAAACTCTGAAACCCAAGCCCTCGGATGTGGTGATTAATGAAATGCCTCTTGATCATTTGATCTGATCCCACTTGCTGAGGTAAATTGTTTTAGTTTTCCATTGGCATAGATAGGATTTTTTGGTATAATGACTGGAGGGTAAAGACTTCACACTTGAAAAGACATAGCATTCTGTGTTAATGGATGACCACTGAGAATTGGAACATATTTTAACCTTCTTCATTCCTCCCTCAAAGATAAAAGACTAAGGAGATATTTTTGTTATGTCCCAAAAAAGTTCCTTGCTTGAAACGCTGTACGAACATCCTGGTAATAACATTAGCTCTATACTTCTGCAGTTCAAAAACCTCAACAGCTCTGTGATTACAAGCATTTGTCAAGAGGCAACAGGCATTTGGCAATGACAAAATCTGTCATTTTTCTGAAGTTGGAGTGTGCCAGTCAACAGCTGCATTAGGCTGTCAGCATAATGTACTGCAAAACATCGGCAGATTCACAATGATGCCATTAACACTTTAATTCAATGTTTTGATAACAAGAAGCTCCACGAGGCATACAGTTGGCCTCTTCTGTCACAGAAGTCAGGGGCTGCTTCAGATTTGTCTGTGCCAAGATCTAACACAGTCACTGTAAAACATGGCCAAGCCATGCTTCATTTGATACAATATTCCAGTTTCTTTCCTTGCTTGCAAAACAAATTTCAGTTTCAGAGAATGAAGAACTGATTTTAAAAAATTATATTGCCAGGAATACTTATTAAAATACTTTGGCTACCCAAATAAACAAACTACTAATCCATTTAAATCTTCAGCACAATAAAAAGCTTTAGAACATAAACAATTGCAGTGATTTTGGAGTTTTATATACCACACAAAGGTCAGTGGTTTCAACAAGTAGTAGTTGTCACTGAATTTCATAAAGTAATGTGAATACATTTGATGTGTCTGATGTGTCAAGGTAAGCAGACACTAAAACAAACAGCAGTTTCAGGAATAATGTGCTTTGCTCTGTTTCATAGGCCAATATAATTTCTTGACCTGTAAGGCAATCTTCATTTCAGCACATCATTCCCAAGTGTTTAAAAATATGTAAAAACTGTTATTATCTGCTTTTCTTACTAATATAAAACCAGAAATAACTCGATTGATTTGTGATTTTTTTAATGTGTGCTTTAGTCATCAGTTCTTGTAAGGAGCAACTTCTGTAGCCAGCTCCTATCAAGAGTCCTAAGAATATGTTAATTTCTGATCTTAATGTCTCAGTGGAGTAGAACTATTATGGGAATCTCTCAAATAGGTAGAAAAACCTTTCACAGCCATCTGCATTTTGTATTCAAGAGCTGTAGCTGTTCAACAAACATTAGGGAAGGGAACACCTAGATCCCCAAAAGAGGCAAGTATCTCCAATTAGATGGTGAGTGAAACACTAGGGTTAACATCCCAAAAGCAGAGCATCTCTGAGTGGGTCGGTGGATAAAAGCCAAGGTGTTTTTCAGGGGAAACATGAGATTTGAAAGGTGTAACCTACAGGCCATGTCCTTAGCACTTGAATGGCATGTCCTCTGAGGAGGCCACAAAGCTTGCAATGAGAACGTACTGTACAGAAACCTCTCTGTTAGAGTTAGGCAGAGGGAAAGGGGGAGAAGATATCATCCACAGACCTTAGCTTTTAGAGATGCATTTAGTTCTTTTCCCCTCCCTTTGAGAATCCTTTATTCATCATCATGAATTCCCTCCTCCTAAAGAATTTTTTCACTATATACAAAGCAAGAATTGCCCAGAAACCATACACTAGGATACATATTTCCAAAACCAGTTGGGAAATAAAACAAAACTGTACTAAGCTATTTAATGTTTTTTCACAAGAAAACAGAATATCATCCTCACTACAACACTCAGGGAAAAGTAATTTGAGCCTGCACATCAAAAAGTGCCCACAGCTTCCAGTGATGTAGGGGAGAAGTAAGCAATCTCATCACCTCTGAAAATATCAATACCATTTAGCCTGGATTTTCACAGGGAGAAAACTGCTGTTCATAAAATTCAATTTTAATTACCTACCCACAAGATTAAAAAGAGTTGACAGTCTGAACTCCTCTGAATGATGGTACTTCAAAAGCTGAACTGAAGAGGCTGAAATGTGGATGAAGTATCCTGGTTTTGCAAATGACTCAAAGGAACTGTATCCTGAAAGCCACGTATTCTTGTGAATGACAAATGTGGATCTGTTGTGAAACTCTTCTGTTTTCTTCCATTTAGAAAGAACAAGACTATTATTGGCGACCAACTGAAGAAAATAGTTTGGTCTCTCTGCTGTTTCAAATGAAATCAAGTTGGAATCTGAAAAAAACAAAAACAAAGAACCCACACAGAACTCATTTACTTGCTGATATAAGCATAATAAACTAAACTCATTCTGATGTGCTGCTACTTATAGCAGTAGCATGAGGAATGAAAACTGACTTTGGCCTTACCAGTGAAAACAGCCCGAATCTTGCAAGAAAATACACTATGCATGGATTTCGGAGTGCTAGATTGTGATGGATATTTAGTTTTCTAAGTACTCTACATATTTTGACAAGAATACAAGCAGATTAAGACATTTGCCCACACCAGGATAAAGGAATACAGCCCTGCAGTTAAGCAAAACTTAATTTACAGTCTTTGCTAAGCCATTTATTTAATCAAAACTTAAACTTCATCTAACTAGTTTTACAAGTAACATTTGCCATCAGGAATCTACAGCTTAAAAGCTCAGCCTTTCATTAAAAATAAATTACAAAAATGTATTTTGTGTTCAGCTCTCTAGCCCTTCCTCTAAGAATGGTACAGCAAAGTCTGTTTTCTGGCAAATGTCCCCTCATGATACCTTACCCTGCAAACAGTACTGCTGATTTCAAGCAGCCTCTGTACAACCAACTGCAGAGGTGCAGATCTTGAGCCTGTTACAGGCATCTGTTGCTCACAGAATTACTTCATTCTATTTTGCTGTAAACTCTTCTATTCTCTTGAAAACAGCCATTAATCTACTGTAAAATCAGCTAACCCTCCAGGACTGGGTAGCATTGCTTGACAAAAAAAAGAATGCATAGAAAACAAATGATCTCTATTAACACTTCTGGAAGACCACCTTGTTTGCTGAGCAGAAAAACTTCAGTTCATTTGAGAAACCTAGCAGTACTACTAAATGTCTTTTTATTCATCGTCTGAGCAAGTAGTTATTTGATAAGCAACAACAGACAACCAGTGTGATTTTTAACACTTGCCCTCTAGCCAAGCAGTGCATTAATGCCCAAAACTTTCCACTGTCTACGATTTGCCTGAAACTGATAGAAGATGTGTTTTGCTGTGGTACCAAAGAATCAAGAATGTTCTATAAATGGTTTATTGTATTGATTGTACAAACTCCTCCAAGACCAAATGGTGAAACTCAAATTGGACTATAAGGCACAAATTTTATTTGCCAGGTTAAATTCCGAGCAAATGTTTTTTATATAGGAATAGGATGGTAGGACTGACCTTCCCTTCCCAAACATAAATTGAACACAATGTACGAGTGCCTCAAAACTATGACTAATAAAAGAAATCTGGCCCTAGATATTCTGTTACATCAGTTCTTGTGTCATTTCTATGGACAGCAGCATTAGTAATCAAATGCTTGTCATTTTTTAAACTGGCCCATGTCCCTCCTTGGATTACACAAAGACAGCCACCTTCAGGCTGTGCAAAGAGCTGATCAGGGGACTCTGGGCAGTAAAAGTCTATTGAGACTCAACAGCTCAATGGGCATAAAAGTTATGTATGCAGACAACTCTAGCATTTAATTAATGACACAAATGCTGAATAAACTCTCGTAAGCTTTCTCCACCTGTCTGAAGATGTGTAAGACATCTTTCATATGCCGAATAAGCAACATGTTGCTTCAGGGGAAACTTAAGTCTGGACCTGAAGAAGGCAAATTTGCAGTACCCATACAGCTCAGGTTAGTGCCAAAGGGTATTTCTGAACAAGTGTGCAGACAATGAGCGATGGTGGCAAAGTGAGTGAAGTTTACTAGCAACATTTGTCTCCCATTAATACCTGTATCCCAGTGTAATGCCCCAGGGCATTACACCCAGTTCTGCCAGAAAAAAGGTAAAGGGAACAACACACCAGGAGCACTGGGCTGCAATACCAGTTTGGTGCTTTTGAACGTTGGGGTGTGGGGAGACTGTTGCTTTTCAAAAGTATCTGTTCACAAAGCTACATTCATCTACCTAAACCCAATCAAATGAAAATTTTGGCAGACATCATTAAGATGAACGTTCAGCTGACAAATAAAGAAAAGATATTTTTGACCCAGGTCTATTCTAAAACAAGGGCTCATATTCACAGGCAGAATTTGCTGTGTCTTATTTAAGACACTAAGTTACTGTGACTTTACCATGTGCTTTGGGTTTATAAAGTCCTGAAGTCAGCATAAAGCTCACTGCATGTCCAGGAACAATATCTTCTTCTCTCACTGGGAAAACACCACCATCCACCAGCTTCACTGCCATTACAAATTTTCCATCCAAGTAGCTAACCAGTTTGTATGGTCCTTTTCCCAGAGCTGTTGAGAAAAAAATCCCAGAATTATCTTTCATGTCAAGTGTCACAAAGCCTTGAGCTCCAAATGTTAGGACAGGGCACATAAAAACACATCTCACCATGCTGAAAGCAGGTAGAGCACTAAACTGTAATGACAACCAAAACAAAGCCAAACTCTTTTAGAAAATACCTGTTCTGAAAATCATCAATAATACTTACCTTCAATTGTCAGGCTTCATTATTAGCTTTTTCTTTTCCTCCCTTTCATCTGCTTTAGTCACTTGATTAAAGTTAGCTGACCACTCAGTGAGCTGATTTAGAAATAAACAGTGTCTGTAGACCACCTTAGGATCCCTTTAAATTGTTTATTTGTATGGTCGAACCAATTATACACTTCTTACTAACCTTTAAAACCTATTTTATTAGTGTCCAAAGTGTGAGGCATTTTGCAAAGAATAAGTTTGTCATCATCAAGTATCAAAGAATACCTTGAACAGTAGAGACAGAAACATAACTGCTGGGAATTAAGACAGGAAGGAATTGGCATCATAAGTAAAGGAATGATCATATTTTACCATAAGTAAATAAAGTCAAAAGTTATCATTTCATGAATATTATTAATGTCACACCTTCTCTCTTCCAATTTCACTGCAGAAAAATATTTTCAAGTTTATTTTTAAATGTTTCAAACTATTTTTGTAGAGTTCTCTGTTAAAATCAGGCATTGAAGACCACATTTGAGCAATTCACCTCATTACCATTTTACCAACAATCCAGGACATGACAAGCATACATCTGACTTCTCAGCTGATGGTTGCAGCTAATACCATTGACCCTTAAAATCTTCAATTTGCAGCTTACCCTCATATTCTGGTTTTCCTTAATCTTACAGTTTATTAGTAGTTTTGAAATCCTAAGGAGGCTGCACTACAACCAGCGTTTAGATTCTAATGGCATAAAAATGTAGCCACTTAGGGCACAAGTCCATACCTGCCTCAACACATGCAATGAAACCTGGTTATCTCCAGCGCAGGGAGTTGAAAAATAGTTTTACAATTACTACTTAAAACATCCAATGTCCTGGCAACATTCTTATATGTTTAAGTCTCATATCTCAGGCCCATCCAAAATTTGAGAGACCACAGCCACCAGCTGAGAATTTCCCCTTACCAAAGACAAAAGGTTTCTTCTTCTAGTAGGACTGAAAGTATTTCACTCTGGATTCATGACATAGTTACATAGAGAAAACCTTTCTCTGGTCTAAGTTGATTTCTTAATCTTCCTGCATCCAAAATTAAGTAATTCTGGGTCATGCTACTACATATGAGGTAGAGAAGACAATATTAACCATGGAGATATTTTTCCCCCCACTGGCAGCTCTGAAACATTGTATGTTGAATACTGATGAGCTGGATTAGCAAAGAGTAGCAAGATACAGAGAAGTGACAACCTTATTACAAGGCTGGTCACATGCACAGCTTTCCACTATTTCAACTAATTTCTGTCAGTGTGAATTCAGTAAGAAATAAAACTAGTATCACACCTTATAAGTATGTATATCATGTAGTTTGACTATTACCACAGATGTTAGAGACTGCCAATCTGTTACAACTGCACTAAGATTATCTAGTATCAGACCATATTTCATTTATAAAACACAACAAATCACAAAAGAAATGTAATACTTCAATCACTTATTATATTCAACTGTCCTTCATTTAGATCAATTTAAAGGCTTAAATAGTGATTTAGATAAAATTCCCATGCATTAGCAATTTGACCCCACGCTAAATCTTTTCAGCAGACAGTGTACAAGAAAAGACAACTTTCTTGGCCATATTGTTTGGGCCTGGAACATTGCACAAGTCTCTTCTAGTTTAAACTTGGTCCCTCTCTGAGGTCTTTCCGGGAGTGAGCTGCTATGATATCGAGTCTAGCAGAAGACCAAAATACTACAAACCATGTGGATAGACAGGTTTCTACATGAGCCTGATAAAAAGAGTTCTAGAATAAATAGCAGGAGCCCTGACCATTCCTCACATCAGGCTGGCTTACATGCCACGTCTAACTATGCAGACACTTGCAATGCAGCTTTAAAATAGTCTGAACATCGATTCCAGTGCTAAAAGTACAGCTACCAGTGCAGATTGAAGGTATACTCCAGCACCTTCAACAAGTTTTCCACAACCTGAGAGCCACTCTAAAGCAGCAGCAATGACTGCTGCTTGGGAACCTAAGGCTAGGTCAGACATACCTAAACAGAGAGTTACTCCCCATTTGGGTACAAAACGTTGTCATATCTTAACAATTATCTCCCTCTGGAGACTGCATATGAGACCATGAGTGATTTAACAGACCCACTGGATGTCAGCTTTGAACTGCACGATGCTCTAAGCAAGTAGTGACACCAGTAATATTTGGTTGAATAGCCTGATAATTACTTGATGATTTAATTGTTTAATCATAGTCCATCACTGCAAAGAAAAGTAGTTAAACATATGTTATTGGGAAGGGTCCAGGAATAAAAAAATATTATGAAATTAAAAGCTTTTGAAAAAGTAAAATAGGTCAGTAAAACAGAAACTTGGCTATTTAAGTAATGCATAATTTACAAGTGTTTTCATTAACACAGTCATTTCTATACAAAGTTCTAAGACATATAAAGAAACCAAATAATCTATTGACATTTTATCACCCCCTTTAGGACTTACCTTTGTTGAAGTATTCACAATCATAAGCTAAAAAAAAAAAAAAAAATAAATACAGTTACAGGCATTCTGAGTATAAAAAGGTTTTCTATTACCCTTTATGATTAAGATGTAAGCCAAATGTTTCGTCACATTATATAATACACAGGCATTTATTAAAAAATCATTGCCAAATATTTACTTTACTACTTTAGATAAAAGACCAATTTAAACTACACTGATTTAGCATTGCTTCCTAGCAGGAAATAGTAAGCTTATATACCTACAGCTGTCTTTCTGTGACATCTAGTGGACAAGACCAAGCTGTGCTATTTTTCCAAGCTCGCACTGAAACACATGTACCTTTTCTATCAAAAATTGAGTGACTCTCTCATTCTGTGACCAGTATATACTGGTGACTTTGAGCAAGCTGCATACTCTCTCTGTGCAACTGAAAAGTCAGAAAACAAGCTTGTTTCCTTCCAGTCTTTCTATCTTGCCCTTTTTTATCTCATCTTTGGGGAAATGACACTCCTGTGAGCAAGGTTCCATAGAAAAACGCCTCAGATTTTTTTAAAACTCCTAAGCACTGTTGGATAGGGATATCAAGGTAATGGCTTTGTCCTGCTTAAAAATCCTGTTTGCCTTTTTTTCAGAAGACCTTTGTATTTCACACTTACTCTGGAGGCTCTAGTAAGGCAGCTATGTTTTCTAGATCTTATTGAGAAGTAAAATCCTCCTGAAGATGGAAATCACTTGAGCTGTTAACGTTGTACCTTTGTTTTGAGGGACAAATGCCATGCCCTAACACAGACTGCCCATGACTTTTCCTTTCACATCACAGGACAAGGAATTAAAGACAGATAAGTATCACTCACAAATGCAGAAAAAAGTACATAATTCAGCTAGACCAAAATGAAAATGGACTGAGAGACACCAACTCATCTTCCTACCAGTGTGGCTTAGTGATTCAATTCATGGCCCCAGGTAACTTAATGTGATTGATTTTTCAGGTTTGGCTGTCATGAATGATGCAGTGGCAGACATTGGCAATGCTGGTGAAGTCAACTTACGACACACTCTAGGAGACCTCCAGTCTACAGCAACTCCATGCTGGCAGCACTGATGGGCATATGCCGATACACTTGTACAGAAACACTCACAGTCACCTCCTTGGTTACAACCACATGTATCTGTCAAGCAGTTGGAGTAAAACCAGGTGACGTCAATCTGGAAACAAAAATACCAATTATCCAAAATACTCATGTAGGCACTACCATCCAGCACCTCTACATAGAAGTATTACTCTTTAACAGGTTAATATATAAAACTTTGAAGTATTAAAGATTTGACTTTAAATGCTTCCTGAAATACAAGCAAAAAATATTTATTAGATCGCATCACAAAATCTTGTCCAGCACTTAGCAACACAATTAATTCAATGACCCACTAAGAACAGGTACACTAAGATGTTGATGTGAGCTTGTGTTTTGTATGGTTTTGTAATACTTGAGCCCTTTGCATTAAACTACAAAGAAACTTATGAAGTAACAGACTCTCTAAACTGATCACAAGCCAATAAATTTCAGAAGTACTAAGAAAATTAGACGCACAAAATGTGAGAACTAATAAAGTAGATGGAAAACTCTTCATGTCAGAGTGGTTCATTCTCTATTTTCAAACAGTTTTACAGGAGAATTTGTGGGGTTTCCCATTACAGTATTTTCAAGTCTTGCCTTAAGTGACAAAAGTTCAAAGAAAATTGTCAATGCTAATTTACTTCTTGAATTGTTACACATTTTACACAGATTTGCATTTGAGTAATACATACCGAGGAGTAACTTAATTGCTACCTACATTATACAGTGGACTAAGCTGATGTTAGATTAATACAACTTCAGCATGTTTCCACTTTCTTCCAAAATTATGTACTAAGCAACCCTGCAAGATTCCTGGGTTTCTTTCATATGAAATCTTTCTCCTTAGGAACTATTCTGACACTTACAATCTTTAAGTCATGCACACAGGCTCAATGCCTAAAGATCTTGGGATGTGTAATTTTCCATACAAGACCTAGCTCTGGAAATCAGTTTCTCCCCCATGCTCCAACTGAACCTGAGGTAGCTGACTGCCACAACATGATGAATGACTCATTTACTTCCTTAGGTCATTGACTGAGTGAGGAGATACATGCATTTTTTTCCTAGGAATGAGTTCTTCACATCTGATACACTGCCTAACTGTTAATGTATTTAAATATGCATGAAAAATGCTATAAATGCTACATAATACATTTATGGAAAATATAGCAAGTGGTTATGCTTCTGCAAATAATGCTTGTGATTAAAAAACACCAAAGGTAACAGAAATTGGGTGTATTTTTATCTGCATTAATTACAAAGAAGACTACTAGGACTACACATAGGGTAAAAGGTTAAATTGGTGCCAAATTTGCATAATGTCTAGGTCAGCTAAGTGCCTCAGAGTTAAACATTTGCATTCTACAGTCAGAATAGGGTATGGGTTAGACCTTCTTTGTGTTCTCTTTTGCTAATCAAAAATACATTACAGAAGACAAGATGCAGATTTAAAGTGCTTCAAGCTGAAGAGTAAAATTTCTCTCTAATTATATATTCACTTTCAGTTGTTTCTAAGTGTGACCAGAACTCACCACTGGATGGCAAGCTTCAAATGATTCACTTAACAGAATTCCACATTCCTTCTTGGCAAACGGCTCTCTAAGGGGATTCAAGCTGCATGGATTTCGAATGTCAGAGCTGTCAACACACTTAACCAGAAAGCAAAATCAAGGTGAGAAACGTTTTTCATAACCACTTTGTGTTTGAACTTGCAAAGCATAGTTTTGTGGCTTTGTTTTGTTTTTAGAGAGATGAAAAACATGAAACAAATGCATCATTTATGACACCAAAGGAGGGCTAAAATATAGAATTAAAAGGTGATGCTAATCTGCAGAAAAGGAAAACTACACAATCTGAAGAAATGTTTCACATGCCAGAAAGCAGCAGAAAAACATATATGCGCATATAGGTCTAAGTAGAGTTGCCACACAGTCCCAGCCTGCAGTTGTTACACCTGAACACTTTTGCTTACATACATAACATAGATCACTCAGATGATGTGCATTAGAAGTGTTAGAAATCAGATCTTTTTACTCTAAGTACTAGGAGGGAACATTTCTATGAACACCACTAGACATGACATTAAAATAAAAGTTCCATTTTTAATTTTACAGCATGTGGAATGGTTTTTTTTCTTTCCATTGCTATGGTTGCATGGTTAAATATCTCCCAGCTATGAAAGAACAGGTAAACTGGCAACATAGTCTAAAGTGAACCCACAATTTTTACATTATGAAAAAAAGTACTACTTTAGTCTTTAAATGTGTTCAAAAACATTCAGTATATTGTACAGCATTTTTCTCTACAGTATAGCACTGTGTAGACAAGGTGATTATTTTCTTCTCCTTAACGGATTATGGTATCTGTAAGAACCACCAATATTGGCATTTGCATATTTGATACTTCCAGGAACAAATTTCTGACTTCATTCTAGACAAATTATATGATGTAAGAGCAAAAAAAACCCATTGGCAAGCACTTTCTTTTTACTATGTACCTCTACAGCTGTCCAGCTGTTTCCAAACTCTTGTGAGTTTGTTAATTCAAAATTATCTGGAGTCCTCAATTCATTTACAGTCTTCAAATCAAAATTGCCACATAATCCAGTCAATTCACCCTGGAAAAATAGATATAGACACACACACATCCACATTAAAAAAAAAACTATTTACACAGGATAGAACACTCCCAGCCATGACTGTTTTCAAAATTTGAATCTTCAGTTGGTTAACTATAAGTGTCAGGTTTTGATCCTTTTTCAGCTATATTTCAGCCAAAACAGGTCTATGGAGAATATTTTATTTTGCCAACATCTGTATTATTCCCTTTCAATTATGTATTCCCAAGCCTTTGAAAAAGGACCTGATCCTTTGTTCAGAGAAGTGAGCTGTTAGCCAGTTATGTGCTTTTATTATGCTTCAGCAAAGTAACACCTGCTCCAGTCACATAAGGAATGAGTACTGAAGGAGAATTTTGCTCCAAAGATATCTGTTTCTGTTGTTACAGAAGTTATATAGTAAAGAGCAACTATTAGAAACATAAATCAGAATGTTAATTTTAATTTACAAGGGGGTTGAATGTTTCTCTCCTTGATTACTGACACCTTGTCTATTCTCTGAATAATGATGATGTGGTCTCATTTAACAAGATTTACATAAACATTTCAAAGAAATGGCAATAAGAGTGTTGACTTCCACCTACCTGCCACTGAGGACCCATCTGGACATGAACTGTTGTAGGAAAGGAAAATGAACAACAGTGAAAAATCCAGCTTTCCATAACTGCACTTTTTGTCGTTCATCTATGTAACTAGATAAGCTCTGATCAAAATAGAACAAGGGAACTTAGAATGTCGTCATAAAATGTTCACTTGACAAAAAATGAAACAATTAAATGAAATGAATGACAGGGTTCTCAGACATAAGGCCAAAAAAACCACAGAAGGAAAATGAACAACAGTGAAAAATCCAGCTTTCCATAACTGCACTTTTTGTCGTTCATCTATGTAACTAGATAAGCTCTGATCAAAATAGAACAAGGGAACTTAGAATGTCGTCATAAAATGTTCACTTGACAAAAAATGAAACAATTAAATGAAATGAATGACAGGGTTCTCAGACATAAGGCCAAAAAAACCACAGAAGGCCACAGAGAGATAATTGCTTCAATGAAAGTGGTATGGATTTGGATTGTGAACTGTCTTGTATTTTTACAATTTTCCTATTTTAAAAGTTGATTTTATATCAAATGTACAGGATGGGTAACAGCAACTCAAGTGAAGATTAGTCTTAAGGCTCCTGATTTTGATTTTCACTTAGTTATATGTAATTCAGACAGTATCAGCCATGTGTCTTTTTTTTAAAATATGGATAAGTAATGCATGGAATAACCTCTTGAAATAAAGAATTGTCTAAATATGTCCATAGATTGCCTTCTATTTACATAAAGCATTCTTCTCTCCATCCAACAACACTCAGACTCCAACTAATTTGTAGCATGGACTGGTTAAACTACGCAGCACCTCATACAAAGAGATGTAACTTCCATCATATAAAGCTGTAATAATAAATAACTTCCATCTATAAACTGTAAATACTACTACTTATACTAAAATCACTAAAAATACCGAACATTTACAGCAATAGAGTTAGCAGTTTGGCCAAAGTAAAAATGAAATTCAGGCTATAGAAAATAGATCCAAGGGCTATAATTTGTATTTTACAATTGTATAGAAATTTTCCTCCTATGCATTCCAGACCAGACTAAGCTCTCAGTTCCAGTGGAATTAACAGCAGAACTCACACTGACTTATAAATATGTGGATTTTTCCTAAGACAATAAACAGAATTTAGGTCTAAACAAAAGACCTACAATTATATCACAGAATCATCAAGGGTGGAGGAGACCTCTAAGACCAATGAGTCCCACCATTAACCTGCCACTCTGATGTAACTCCTAAACCATACCCTACAGTGTCAGATCCAGGCATCTCTTAAACACTTCCAGAGATTGTGACTCCACCACCTTCCTGGGCAACCTATTCCAGTGCCTGAACACCCTAACAGGGAAAACATTTTTCCTAACATCTAATCTGACTCTTCCCTGTCTCAGCTTATGGCCATTCCCTCCAGTACTCTCCCTGCAGCCATGGCAGGACAGACCATCCCCCACCCCTCTACCACCTCC